AAGAGAAAGAAATAAAGGGAATCCAGATTGGAAAAGATGAAGTCAAACTTTCCCTATTTGCAGATGGCATGATACTATATATAGAAAAACCTAAGGACTCTATCAAAAAAATCCTAGAGCTGGTCAATAACTTCACAAATGTTGCAGGATAAAAAATAAGTGCCCCAACATCAGTAGCATTTATATACTAAAATAATGAATTAACAGAAAGAGAAATAAAGTAAGCCCATTTACAATTGTCACCAAAAAAATATGATACCTAGGGATCAATTTATCCAAGGAGGTGAAAGACCTCTACAATGAGAATTACAAACCACTTTTGAAAGAAATTAAAGGAGACACAAAAAGAAAGAAAGATATTCCATGCTCTTGGATTGGAAGAATTAACATTGTGAAAATGTCTATACTACCCAAAGCAATCTACAGATTAAATGCAATCCCCAACAAAATACCAATGACATTCTTCACAGAAATGGAAAAAACAATCTTCCCTTTCATATGGATAAACAAAAGACCCTGAATAGCCAAAGTAATCCTGAGCAAAAAAAATGAAGCCAGAGGCATAACTCTGCCTGACTTCAAATTATACTACAAAGCCATTGTAACCCAAACAGCATGGTACTAGTATAAAATTAGACAATCAGACCAGTCGAGTAGAATAGAGAATCCAGAAATCACTCCTCAGGCTTATAGCCATCTGATATTAGACAAAGGCAACACAACTCTATATTAGGGAAAAGACTGCCTCTTCAACAAGTGGTGCTGGGAAAACTGGATATTCATATGCAGAAGAATGAAACTAGATATGCATCTCTCACCATATACTAAAATCAACTCAAAATGGATTAAAGACCTTGCTTGGTATAAGACACAAAACTGTAAAATTATTAGGGGAAAATAAAGGTGAAACACTTCAACCGTTAAGTCAGGGCACAGGCTTTATGCCCATGAGCCCTAAAGCACAAGCAGCAAAAGAAAAAATAAACAAATGGGACTATATCAAACTAAAAAGTTTCTGCACAGGACAGGCAACAATCAACAGAGCGAAAAGACAACCTAGAGAGTGGGAGAAAATTTTTGCTAACTACACATCCAACAAGGGACTAATATCCATTATATACATAGAACTCAAGCAATTATACAGTAAAAAAATAAATGACCCAATTAAATAATAGGCAAAGGAGTTGAATAGACATTTTTCAAAGGAAGACATACAAATGGCCAACAGATATATGAAAAAATGCTCAACATCACTAGTCATCAGGGTAATGCAAGTTAAAACCACATTGAGATGCCACCTAACTCCAGTTAGACTGGCTATGGTCAAAAAGGCAGTGAATAACAAATGCTGGCAAGGTGTGGAGAGAAGGGAACACTCCTGCACTGTTGGTGGGACTGTAAATTAGTACAACCACTTTGGAAAACAGTATGGAGGTTTCTCAAACCACTACAGATAGATCTTCCATATGATCCAGCAATCCCTCTTCTGGGTATATATCCAGAGGAATGGAAATCATCATGTCGAAGAGATACCTGCACCCCCATGTTCCTCACAGCTCTATTTACAATAGCCAAGATATGGAACTAACCTAAGTGTCCATCAATAGACTATTGGATAAGGAAACTGTGTTATATATACACTATGGAATACTACTCTGCCATAAAAAAACAATGAAATACTCCCATTTGCAACAACATGGATGAAACTGGAGAAACTTATGTTGAGTGAAATAAGCAAAGCAGAGAGGGATAAATACTACATGTGCTCACTCATATGTGGTAGCTAAGAGAGAAAGGAAGACAGGAAAGAAAGACCACAGTAGTGTCGTCGTCTAACAGAGGGAGGGGATCTTCTTACGGCTACAAATAGGAGTGGAGGGGCAAGGGCAGGGGCAGGGAGGTTGGGGGATAATTTGGAGGGGACAAAGGGTACAAAATAATTTCTGGTAATGGGTGTGCCCCCAATATGAATCTGGCCCTCACATCATGGGCAGGAGGGGGGGACAATCAGCTTTGTATCTCATGAATATTCTTAATAAATAAATAATAATAATAAAAAAAGAAACTGTATATGCCACATTTAGTGCTTTGTAATTTCAATTTATTGAATCATAAGCATTTTACATAGTGTTACCCATCTTTAAAGCCCCTGTGCTGGAATATTGTATAATATTCCATCAAAGATAATGTCATCAATAACTTCCATTTTCATTTTATGGCCACGTCGAGCCCCCTTGTTTATTGCTGATTTTTCCTCATATTTGAATATTGTCCTTAATTGTTCTTCAAAGGACATTAGTATTTTATGCTCTTCTTAAAACTGCCAATTTGGAAGAGTCATTTTTTTATTAAAATTAAATTGTACTAAGGAAAAAAATGTAGGAAAATTCCCCTTTCCAAAATTTGTATTTACTTTTTCTTAATCCTTTGATTAAAACAATTTTCTTCAAACATCAACATTCAAAATTTTTTTTAAAAATCATTTTATTCTATTTTTCTTTTCTTTTTGTTTATTTACTAGCACTTGGATAGTTTTATTTTCTGATATTTTCCCTCATATACAGTGATTTATATTTAAAATTCAATAAATGGACTAACCTAGTATCTTTTCTTTTACAAATGCTATGAGTGCTACATAAAATGCACATATTTTTGCATGTAAATTTAACTTTACACAGTTTCCTGTGGTGGGTATGGGGGGGTGGGTGTGCTTTTTTATGCAATATGGCTGCTAAATGCAAGCAAAGTGTTGCACCTTATGCTCAGCAGAAGAAATTGTGGCCTATTCCCACAGGGAGGAAACATGAAGTATGTAGATCCTCTCAAGAGTGATATGTTTTATAAAACCATGCAGATAGGCCCATAGGAGTGATTTCAGCTCTCTTCAGGAGTAATTTTTTCTAGGTGATTTTTACATTAATCATTGACTTTTTAAGTAAGTATTTAAGATAGACAGCACTGTAAAACACTCTGCATTGTATTTAGCCAATTCCTTTTCAGACTGTTTGAGGAACTGCCTGTGATATCTTAGCTCCTTCTCTCAATTTGATTGCCAGCTGCTTCCTGAGTGTTGATGATAGCTGAGTATAATTGCAAACTAATCAATAGGGAAAATCTTGAGAATACAATGTGATTGGTGATCTTGGAATCTAAGATTTGTTTATGTTTGCCCTTGAAATATGAAAGACTTTACTGAGTTTTTCTTAGATTAAAATGATGATGATTTTCAGGCTGCTGCCTGGGCATTCCCCAGGTATGCACTGACAGACCAGATCTGCTGATTATGGGTAAACTTGCTGGATATATGCCAGACATTTATAGGGCATGGTCATTAAAATGCTTGAGCAATTGTATAAATTAGACATATACATAGCAATAACCAAGCTGACTCAATTGCAGAGGCAGAGTAGGTAGATCTAACAGAGAGAGAAGCTGAGGGCAGGTTTCATTTTTCTTTTTGCTTAAAGACTTAACTGTTTATGAAGGGCATTTGAGGGTTCTTCCCATATGAACAGAATCAGACTGGTGATTTTCAGCAAATATTCTCACTTCTAAATACTGGATAATAGCTGGAGTCTGGAGATACACCACCTCCATTCGAGTCTTGGCCCTGGCACTTCAGTTTATAATGGTGGGTGAATTGCTAAACCAACTTGTGCTGTAGTTTCTCTCTGTGCCAATAAGAAAAAAAAAAATGATTTAAATGCCTGCCTCATAGGGTTGTGAGGATTAAATGACAATATATAGAAAATGCTTAGAACAATGCTAGGGAATTGAAAGAACTCAGTAACTGTTACTATTATTATTATTAGCAAAAATTCTTTTTTTTATTAGACTAAAGAACACCAAGAGTAAGCCATCTTCCTATGGTAAGTTGTTTATTGCCGTATCTTTCTCCTTCAATAAATAGCTTCTTGTCCTGGTATCTTACAATGTAAATAATCTGCACCATAAGTGTGTAATCATCTTTCATTCAGCATTACATGCTCATGGGATTTCAATGGCAATGGGGTTTTAGAGAACATCTATTCCAATCTCTTCTTTGTCGCAGAGGATCAGGAGGACTCTGGCATAGGTCTCTCTGTCTTTTGCAGTGACTGCGCCATATCCCATAATGCTCTGGCAGGATTATCTCTGTTTCTCCCAACTTTTTAAAGTAGAAACATTCCTGAAAGAAAACTGAGTCTCTGTGGTGATTGTCATTCCCATGGACTCAGAAGAATGTATTTTTGTCCTGGTTTACCCCTGTTTGTTCTCTTGCTGTTGTCTTTCACATGTATCAAAAGCAAGAAAGTGCAAATGTCCCCGTTGTAAGAAATAAATCTGAGTGATTTTCTCTGATCAGACCCTGAAAAGCTGCCCCTGGAGAGAAGCAGATAAAATAAGGGCTACAGAGAACTTCCGTGGACGAGTGCAATAACTCATTTTTGTGCATTTGGAATGCGAGGCTTTACTACGGAGTTCTGCGGGTACAAGCCAAGAGCAGTCGTGTGATTAGATTTTTAATCCCATTAACTCTAATTGCTTCTCAGAAGCTGTGTACTTACAGTATGTGTCTGGTTTTAGAAATGCAAAGGAAAGAGAAAGTAATGAAATGGTTCCTTCACCCAGGATGGAACACCAAAAAGCAAACAGTACATAGGCACCCAGTTAATGAGAAATGCTGTCAGACTTTACTGAAGACTATATTTACGATGATTACATATGCTTTTACATATAGAAATCCTTCTGACGGCTTTGAAATTTCAGTGTTGGAGGGTTTATTTCTCTCTTTTTCATTTTTGGAGTTGGACTTTGACACCTTTATTGTACTTTTGATAGTTTGGCTATAAATTATGGCGCTGAAGAGAAAATATTCTTGGAGGTTAAATATCTTCTATTTCAGAGGATACAATCCCAACAACTGTCTTTGTTATTCTAGACAAGGTCTATTAAACACCAAGCTGACCTACTGGAACTGATAAACACAATCACTTTAAAGAAATGGAGATGAATTGTAGCTGAGGTTTAGGAAAATAGGAAAGCATAATTGATTAAATTAAAAATAATTTTAAATCACAATTATAATCACTTATTTATTTTTACCTTGCCAGTTTTGCGTCACATGGGCTGTAATTTGAGAATGTTTAACTGTAGCTAGACTTACTGTCTAAAAAATGATTATTAACAACAAAATCCATTTTGTTGTGCAGAATATCTATTCATTGTGAGCACACTGGACTAAAATCGGGGTTGCTTGTTATCTAAGGAAATCACAACTTGGAAGATTGAGCACTGGGTGGAAAAGGGTATGTTAGTTGAATAATGAAAGAAAACAAAAAATGAGTGGAAAAGAAAATGCCAACAATATTCTTCCTTTTTAAAGCTTAGTGAGCAAGTAGAACAATAAAAAAAGAAAATAGGGAGAGAAGGGAGAAAAGGTCAAATATGTGCATGTGTCAATTTAGTTAGAACAGTTGTACTTATGAAAAGGGCATGTGAACGTTTCCCAAACAAGATCCTGGGTCTCCCACCAAGGTCAGATTAGATCCACATGAGCAATGCCTGCTTTGATTATATTACTGGATGTTTTCAAAAATGGAAGAACCTGGGAAAGGAATGAGCCACCTTCATTTTCAGTCTGTCCACTACTCTTGAAAGGAATAAATTTCTGAGGAGTTTGCTTCAAACATCCTATGAATCCCCAATTTTAAAACAGAGTATTATAAGGAGTAAACTTAGCAGGAAATCATAGCATGATTTGGGAGCTTATTCACACCTATAATTTAGGGAATTGGGATCAATACCATTTATCTGAATAGAAATAGACATGTGCATAATTAATATTTGCAAAATACTTGATGGTGAAAGTTAAGTCAGAAGCTCTTATGAGAGATTTATTAGAGAAACTAGAATTGGGTTTATTCCAAACCTCCTACTTTGAAGCACTTATTGGCACATTATAGGCATCATGACCTTTAACTTGTCCAGGCATGTATTAAACTCTTTGGCGGGACACTGACTCGTGCCTTTTGAAGCTCGTTATTGCCATTAGAGAGCTCAGTTTAAGTACCCTCATTGCATAAGATTGCTGTACTTGCTTAATTAGCATAACATGAATAAAAAGAGTCCTGTTAACATAAAGTGTCGCTGCACAGTCCCCCTCTCTGGTCTCTGTGCGGTATACCACAGATCTGCTGGCAAACTTGCAGCTAGAAGAATTTTTTGTGGAGAGCAAAGTTAACCCTCACTTCTGGGTGAAGAGAGCAGAGCCATTAACAACCATGATGGAGTCATTTTGCATTAATTGTCTTTTAGAGCTTGTTTCTTTCCTTGCACAGAAGTGACCTGTCCAGCATCAAAGGGAGCAATGCCAGAGAGCATTTAAGCATGCCTCATCTAAATTCAGCAGAATGTCATCAAATTAAAGCCTCAGAATACTTCTTGGAGACTTCAAAATTGATGTCCTGTAAATTTCAGAGCCATGGGGTTGCTTTAAATTGTCTTCAACACTCTGAGTTTTGTATTATCACTTACTTAAGAAAAATCAAATAAAAATAACTTCAAATGTGACAGCTGAATTAGCCTTTAAATAACTAATGTATTTGTTTAACTTGTTTTGTATTTTAGTTAGAAAACAATGAAATGAAATGTGCCATATGTGACAAGAGAACGTAGCAATAATCTTGATCAGATATGTTTTCCTTTTTCCCATTTTGTCAGGAATAGATAAAAGAAATTTTTTTAAGATGGCTGGAAAAGGGACATTGTATCTACCTAGAAATTTTTCTATTTATATATGATCCAGATGGTCATCTTCAATCTGCATCTTTCTAAAAATAACTTCTCTACTTTTCTCCCTTGGAGTAGAACTTAATTCAACTTACCTAAAATGTCTACCATTAACTTTACTTTTTTTTGGATTGGTTAACAAACTTAAATGAATTATGTCTAATGGAACACATTAAAATCTATATAATCATCTACTTAAAAAAATTGACACTTGTCCAGTAGGAAAGATAAGGATGACTCAAACATACATCCAGAAATCAAGGAAACTTCAGTTTATTAGGAGGATTGTATAACTCACCTGGATGGTAATCAGTGGCTAATAAAGGGACAATGTGTGGCTCTATGAGTTTAAAAAAGAAAAAAATATTTTCTTCAGTTTCTCGATGGAGATACTATTAGCATCTTGAGCAGGATAATACTATGTTTAGAATACCTAGCTCCCAGTCATCCACCAGTACTGTAACAACTTAAAAAGCAAGAAACAACTGCACATTTCCAAAAGTCATCTAATTGATAGTTGATAATAAAATAGTTTTAGAGGATTCAAAGGAGATTTTTTTTGGAAGAGATAGATCATGAGCTGTGCCTGAAAGACTAAAGATGTTCTGAATATGCAAAGTGGGATGGAAAATCCATCTAGGTCTAAGGAGCTGCATAAGCAAAACCGCAGAAACTGTTATGTGAGAAAAAATGCATGGTCCATGCAGCAGCTTGTAGGAGGGTAACATCATATTACTATAGGATACACTAAAGACAAACTTATGTCATTAAGACTATTTTGTTATGTGACATCTAAATTACCTGGGGACGCAGAAACAATGCCTCATACATCAATCACAGCAAATTATAACAACAAATTCTTAAAGCAATCGATAGCAAAGCGTATGTTCAAAATTTATTTCAGACTTGCTTCAAAAGATGAAAGAAAGAAACAAACAAACAAACTAGAAAAAAGCAACTCAGAAATGTCTTTGGAAAAGACACAGAAAAAATGTTACAATGAAGGAATGACTTATTTAAGTTTATTTGTCACAGCATGGTCTAATGTTAGTAATTTGGAGAGGAAGGTAACTCTAACTTCTCAAAATTGCTCAAACATTTATCGGGAATATTAGTTACTTTCTAGAAGGGATTGTAAATTACAACACCCCCCAAAATCCTATTCCAGAACAATTTTAGACCAATTTGTTTTCTCATATCTTAGTATCCTAATACAATACCAACCACTCAGAAATAAAAATGTAAAAAACAAAAAACAACAATAAAATTTGTTCAGTAATTTATAGGCAACATAGCTTCAAACTAGCAGTGAATATATATTTGTATTTTATTTTGACAATCCTTCCATTCATCCTCTCATTCATTTATTCATTCATTCTAGCTGTTGGAGATTCAGAGATGACAAGTCTACCAGAGCCACATGTTTAGGAAAGGGTAGACTAAAACAAGTAAATAACCAAAATAATTTACATAACAATAGGTGTTAAGAAAGGTGATTTTAAAAAGTGTTAATGAAGAGTAAAGATGTGGGGGAGGAGAGAATGTTTCACAAGGGATGTTCAGTCATGCTGTGTCTAAGGAAGAGATATTTAAGTAGATGTCTCACTGGTAAACAAGTCATCTATGCAAAGATTTTGGTTAAGAGAAATCTTGGTAGAGGGATTGGGAAGATAAGTTACATATGGCAAAGAAACCACGGTAGATGTAAGATGGATTTAGAAACCTGATGGAAAAAAGGACAGCATAGCTGAAGCAGAGCAAAGGAAAGTATTCATGGAACAAGAAATCTAAGTCAGAGAGGTAAGCAAGATTTACATGATGTAGGCTTTTGTAATTAATGATAAGGATTTTTTACTCTATTTTTAAACCAATGGAAAGCCCTCAAGGGCTTTTAAGCAGAAGAAGTTTGTGATGCTTCTGTTTACTCTAAGAAAATTGAAACAGCCATGTTGGGAGGCAATTAATTGTCCAGGTGGGGAGATAGTAGGTGCTAAAGATAAGAGAGTAAGAGTAGATCTGAAAGGACTTGCAGGTGAAGTGGATGTGGGAACTAAGTTTGTTTATTTTTAATCATAAATCTCTTTTTATCAAACTAAATATTATTTATACAATATTACATAAAATAGTTACAAATAAAAATTCATCATTTTTATTTTTAAAGTTTAAATATACAAATTGCATTTATTTATTAATAACTTGAGTCGATAAAACTCAGAGATTTGTTATGAAATCCCACATTGCTGCACAGCTGTAATTTTGTATAAACCTCCATGAAAATGTCTGTATATTGTCTTAATTGAAAAATCACAAGAAATTTTTGATTTGGGCTAAATGGATATCAATATTAAAATCTTTTTAAAAGCTCAATTTGCATTCTTAACATATTTTTCAATTAGTAGTTTGATCTGGAAATTTGGAAGATAAGAAGGAAATATTTATTTCAAAGTTGAATCAATAATTATTACTAATTTCTGCTCATATAACTTACAAATACAAACACCCATTAAGATATACCTAAATCTTAAAATATGAACAAAAATTGTTTGTTATATGTATGTGTGTGTATATATGTATGTTTTCATATATTTGTTTTATATGTTTTCATATATTTGTTTTACATCTTTATGCATATACACACATACACACACCCACAAGGGGTCTTCAAAAAGCTCATGGAAAATGCATACTATAAAGAACTATGCATGGCTTTCAAAATTTTTTTGCACCAAAATAAACTTGTAATAACTTGTAATAATATGTCTGAACAGGGTCTAGCTTGAGGCACTAAGAAGGATAAGACATCAGTTTGAAAAGAGCTCCTATCAGAGCAACATAAATTCTGTTGAAATTGAAGGAAAAACAAACATCAAATTTATGGTGAAGCCTCGGTAGAAGAATGGCAAAATCATTAATGCTTTATGGAAAGTTTATGGGGATAATGCCCCAAAGAAATCATCAGTGTACAAATATATAACCCATTTTAAGAAGGGATGAGATGATTTTGAAGATGAATCCCACAGAGGAAGACCATCAATTTGAAAGAAAAAAATTAACCTTGTTTGTTCACTAAATGAAGAGGACAAACAATTAACAGCGAAACCATAGCCAACACCTTAGATATCTCAGTTGGTTCAGCTTACACAATTCTGGCTGAAAAATTATAGTTGAGAAAACTTTCTGCCTGATGGGTGCCAAAACTGTTGTGGCCAGATCAGCTGCAGACAAGAGCAACTT